ATCTGAAACCAGCACAAGAGAGAATGTGTATCCTTGGAAACCAGCATTTTGCTTCCCTCAATTAAAAAAAGGAAAGGAGAGAGCAGGAGAGAGAGAGAGAGTGCTTTTGAATAATTTAAGTTGGTTTAATGTGCCTATTATATACAACAATCCCAGGCAAACATCCTGTCCCAAGCCAAGTTGTGGAGAAAGTGTATGGTGCTTTGTGGAAAAGTTCAAATTAATACCATAGGGGAGGGTCTTACAATTTTTTGTTTAAATTTTTTTTCTTTGGTTTTTTTAGAGACAGGATTTCTCTGTAGTTTTGAATCCTGTCTTGGAACTAGCTCTTGTAGACAAGGTTGGCATCAAACTCACAGAGATCCGTCTGCCTCTGCCTTCCGAGTGCTGGGATTAAAGGTGTGCACCACCACCGCCTGGCTTTGTTTCAATCTTTAAAAGAAAAACAGCAATACAAGCTATACTAATAATTACTTTATGGATCATACTTAAATGAAGAAAATGTTTACTGGCTTTTTTTTAGTATCTTTACTGTTCAACTGCATGTTACTAACACCTGAATTCTTACACACTCTTGCGTGTTCTAGAAGGGCCTTCTCTTTCAGGTGTTATATGTTGTAAAATGTCAAAATGGAAGAATTTTCCAAGTTATGAAATATTCAATATACTCATCAAAATACCTGAATTTCCTAACATAAGCCATACCACATTCATCTCATTTACATTCTTCTTTTAGTTTTTAATTTTGTTTGTTTTTAAGACAGGGTTTTAGTGTAGTTCATGTTGGCCTTGAATTTCTTATATAACCAAGGGTAACCTTGAACTCCTTATCTTCCTACTTCCACATCTTAAGTGGTAGGTGGAAGGTTTCCGGTTTGTTATTCAAGGGGGGTATGCTAAGGCAGAGAAAAGATGACAATTACCTTCCCTGCCCCTCCACCTAATAGAAACAAAAGTTTGAAATAGCCAGGTTTGTGCCATTTTTTTAAAGCTCTTCCAATAACTTGTTTTGTTCTCTCCACTCTCAGTTATTCTACTTACAGGCCCCAGACTAACAGACTCCTTTCCCACCTGCCTGCCAGGAACCAAAGACAGCCTGACAGTAAGTATGTACTATGGACTGCCCATTAATCACATGGTATTTCCTCTAGAATGTATGAGAAGGGACCAACCAAATGGGTCCGATCTCTCCTTAGGGCCCCTAACATGCTGCTGACTGTCCATCTATGGCATTAATACCACATTTAACAAATAACATTCCTCCATGATCTCTGCTTCAGTTCCTGCCTCACGGTTCCTACCTTGAGTTTCTGTCCTGACTTCCCTTTGTGATAGACTGTAACCTGTAAGTCAAATAAACCCTTTCCTCCCCAGGTTGCTTCTGGTCATGGTCTTGATCACAACAACAGAAAGCAAGCTAAGACAGAGCTGTGTCTGCAAAGACTGGTTAACTGATAAGAACTTCAGTGATACGGAGGTGAAATGGGGCAGGTGGAGAGACAGATTCAAATTTATCTTGAGCTATTGTTAACTTACAAAATAGCTACTCCTTGTGCCCCTTTGTGTCAGACCTAACATGCTGTCACTAACAAATAAAGTTAAACCTAATATCTGGATAAAATAAACAAACCTTTAGAATGTATTAATTTAATAAAACCCTAAGTCTACCAACCAAAGGGCCAAGAATGCTCTCAGATAGCATCTGCGCCTACAACTGAGACTCTCCTCTGTGTTATAAATATTCGCCTAATGTTTCAACTAATGTATCTGAAAAGCGCTTTGACTTAAGACTTTCTTTGTTTAGTTACTATGAAAACTTGATGAATCTGCTTCCATGTTGGAACATGGAATTTGGGGCAACCTAAGCCTGTGTTTCCAGAGTGAATAATATCTCTTCTCCCCTTGAAACAAGAGCTGTGCTTTTGTCTCATCAAATTCCAAATCCAAAATCTTTCCCAGAGATTTGTGCCCATACGTTTTGTCAGCTTTACAGAGACATGAGAAGAGGAAACCTTAACTGAGGGATGATTGCCATTAGAATGGCCTGTGAATGTGCCCGTGGGGCACTGGTGGGGATATTATTTTAAGATGTGTTATTTCTGTTTATGTTGCATTTGCTTAACTGTGCCTGTTATAAACATCTGATAAATAAAAAAAGAGGATCTGGGATTGAGAGGAAGGAGGAGGACTTCAGGGGGTAGCCACCCAGCCAGACACAGGATAAGAAGAAAAGTAAAGGTATACAGAAATAGAGAAAGATAAAAGCCTCAAGGCCAAAGATAGACGGGATAATTTAAGAAAAGCTGGAAAGAAACAAGACAAACTAAGGCCAAGCATTCACAACTAAGAATAAGCCTCCATGTGTGATTTGGGAGCTAGGTGGTGGGCCCCCCAAAAGCCTAAAGAGTAAAAACAGCCAACAACAGGGCATTTTCTTGATTAATGGTTGATAGGGTAAAGTTTGTGTGTAAGAATAGATTATCAAAGCCGGGCGGTGGTGGTGCACGCCTTTAATCCCAGCACTTGGGAGGCAGAGACAGGTGGATCTCTGTGAGTTCGAGGCCAGCCTGGTCTACAAGAGCTAGTTCCAAGACAGGCTCCAAAGCTACAGAGAAACCCTGTCTCGAAAAACAAAAACAAAAACAAAACAAAAAAAAAGAATAGATTATCAAACTTGCAGGGGGTATTCTGTGGGGTGGCCAAGGAGACTGCCTTATAGACAGAAGACTGGGATCTATATGGTTTGTAGTGGAAAGGATGAGCAATGTACTTGTCAAAGTCAGAAAAAGAGGAAAGACAAAAAAGAAACAATTCTATCAGGTTAGAATGAAATTAGAGGTATTACTGTGGAAAATGGCCTTCCCCTTTATTTATTTATTTATTTATTTATTTATTTGCACATGTATATTCAGACATACGAATCTATTTGTAATAATCTTAATAGTCTGTAATTAATCATCTGGCACCTTGAAAGCAGATGCCAAAATTAGAACCAAGGTTATTCCCATTCATATCATCTTTGTTTTTGAGGGCAAGCACAAATCAAATTAGAATGCCCTCATACACACTGACCTAACATCTTCTCACCACTATGGAGATGATTTCCACTCGTGTCTGTCTCTGGCTCCTTGCCTTATGGCCAACCTAGTGATTTTCCACTTGGTCTTGCACAGCATGCTGAGCATCCTGCTTTTGGAAAACTACAGAATAATGAAGTTTTAGTGGTGCTGACCTGGGCAGTTACTCAGTTACCCCTATTAATTAGATCCCAGGGACTTAATAAAACAATTTCATAGCCAGGTGCGGTAACAACTCAGACCCGGAGGCTGAGGCAAGGAGGATTGCTACAAGTTCTAAGTCAGCCCAGGCTACAGAATAATCGAGCCCCGTCTCAACAACAAAAACAAACTGTAGTTCAGGGCTCAGGATGTAAGGGAAATCACGTCCTAGGTTCAAGAAGCACACGCAGAGCACAGATTTGATGCCTAACTATATTCTCTAAAAAGAACCAAAGTTCCTTGAAAAAAAAAATGGTTGAGTCAGGACAAGATTATGCCAAAAAGAAAACATAATGAGCACATGACAAGAAGGACAAGTCTTGAAAGGGTTACCATTGGCTAAATCCAGGACAACTTGGTCACCAACGTAAGTTCAAAAAGGAATAAAATAAGATAGAAAACCATGTTGGTAATTTTACAAATAAAAAGACAAAGTGAAAGCTTCTCGCAGGAAACGCCAGATGAATGAAGAATGATGAATTTGTTTTTTAGTTTGCCATCTGGCTACCACCACAGTAATAACAGATTCAGTCACAAATCTTCAATGGGTACTAAAATTTGTTGGTCAGAATTTGAAACAGTCAATTTACATAACCTCAAAGTGTTACTCCCACAAAATGGTATTATTTACTTATCAATAAGCACAAAAATACTTTTCAGCTAACTTTCCAAAAGTTTATGAGACAACATTTGGACTGTGATAAAATTGAACACAACCTGTAACTGCACAAATGGACATGTGCTCCTGGTATAATGCTGTGACAAGCACACAACATCTGTGGTATTCTGCCAAAGATGTAGAGAGGGCATGGAGATGGCTCCGTGCTCAAGGGTACGCACTATTCTTGCAGAGGACCTGAATTTGATTCTTGTAACTGCCTGTAACTCCAGTTCCAGGAAACCCAACTTCTCTGGATTCCATGGGTACATGCACACGCGCACACGCGTATACACACACACACACACACACACACACACAACCAAAAATAAAATAAATCCTCAAATCTATTCAAGAGGAATCATACTAATTCAGATTTAGGAAAATCCTACAAAATAATTAGACTACTTAAAAAAAAAAAGTCAAATCAGCTGGGCGGCGGTGGTGGTACACGCCTTCAATCCCAGCACTCGGGAGGCAGAGGCAGCAGCAGGTGGATCTCTGTGAGTTTGAGGCCAGTCTGGTCTACAGAATGAGTTCCAGGAGAGCCGGGCTGTTTCACTCAGGAGCTAGAAAGACGGCTTAGTGGTTGTGAGTACTTGCTGCTCTTCCAGCACCTGCATGGTGGCTCACAGCTGTCCATAACCCCAGTTCCAGGAGGTCTGAGACACTCCTCTGAGGGAGTCTTATCAGGCACACATGCAGGCAGAATATTCATACACAGGAAGTAAAAACAAATCTTTAAAAAATGTCAAATTACTAAAAAGAAGAACAAGGAGCTATTCTCTGAAAAAAAGAGACCAAAGAAACATGACAATTAGGGGGCTTAACAGTGAATGGTCCCTAAACCAGAAGTAAAAAAGGTGGAGATGTAAGAAGTTTTCTAGTTTTAGTTTTTGCTGCAAAGGCTGTATGTAACCAAGAGATCAATGCAATTTGAGAGCGACTTATCAATTTGATGGACTGAGAGACACCTGAGGGTCAGTGAAGCATAATTCTAGGTGTGGCTGTAACAGCATTTCCAAGATCACTGCCATGGTAGCAACCAAGGGAAAAAGACTCACCGCAGAGGTGCACGGGTCCATCTGGCAGGCTAGGGCTCCTGCTGGAACACAGGAAAGACAGACCACTGGGGCAGATACGCTGTCCCTGTCTCTGACTCTGTCACTCCACTCATTGCTTCCTGGCTGCCATGAAGTTATACTTCACCAGAGGTCAATCTGAGCTACTGAGTGAGCTGAAAAAAGGAAAGAGTGCGGTTTACTCTATCTCATGGTACCCAGGGTGGGGTGGGCTCAGTATGGCTCTACTGGAGTAAACCACTCACTCATGCTTACTAGTTATCATGTTAGAGTTGAAAGGGGGGGAACCCTATAAAACAAGTAACCACACCTTTGTTCTCAAGAAAGAAATTCAGTATATGAAAGAAAGAAAATAACAAAAAGGCCAGGATAGGGGTCTAGGGAGATGGCTCTGTGGGTAAGAGTGGTTACTGCTCTTGCAGAGGACCTAGGTTTGATTTCCAGTACCAACATGGTGGTTCACAACCATCTGTAACTATAGTTCCAGAGGATCTGGTGCCCTCTTTTGACTTCCATGAGCTCTAGGCATTCACACAGTGCACAGACATACATGTAGGTCAAACACATACATATAAAATAAATTAAATATAGAAAGAAAGAAACAAAAAGAAAAGTGAAGTTAGGTGGCATATGCCCATAATCCCAGCTCTCAGAAGGCCAAAATAGGGAAGTTCAAGTCCGAGGCCAGCTACTAATATAGCAAGATCCTAGCTCAAAAATTAAAAAACATTAATAAGTCAAAAGTCAAAGTTTTCAAGTACTGTAGGGCAGCATTTGAGATTTGAATATTGTCTGACAACACAAGATTCCTTCAAACACTTTTGTTTCTTCTGGTAGAGACTAAATACTGAACATGCTAGGCAAGTACTCTTTAACTGAAGAGCACCTCTAGCTATCTCTGGCAATAACTTGGTCAGGTTAGCCTTGCAGTTACTGCATGCCAGGTAAGCCTTGGATTAATTATCCTGCCTCAGACTCCTGAGCTAGGATTGTAAGGATAGGCCACCAGGCTAGCCGCAAACTTCAAATCCTGAGGAGCATATCCAAACAGAATTAATGGATGGCTTGTGTTTGTTTAAGATAAGGTCTGACTTTCTAGCCCATGGGAGCCCATGGGACTCTTCTTGCCTTAGCCTTCCAAGAGCTAGAATTTTAGGTGTGGTGCACAGGCTTTGGGTGACTTCTTTTTAAACATTACTTTCCATACAGAAAGTTTTAGTCCTTTAAGTGAAGCCACCAAGGCTCAGCGAACATAAGTGAACTCAGTTCTGCAGCCATCAAACTCAATGCACACGGAATGTAAATCCATGCCTCAGGAAAAGTATGTGTCAGGAAGTTGTAGACCATAAAATTCTTTCTTTTTTTTTTTAAAGATTTATTTATTATGTATACAATATTCCTCCTGCATGTACACCTCTATGCCAGAAGAGGACACCAGACCTCATTACAGATGGTTATGAGCCATTATGTGGTTGCTGGGAATTGAACTCAGGACCTCTGGAAGAACAGCCAGTGTTCTTAACCTCTGAGCCATCTCTCCAGCCCCATAAAATTCTTTCTAAGGCCAGTATTTAATCTACAAGTTGTGTGGATTATCATACAAGTATATGGACTACCACACAATTTGATAAAGTAACCTGACAGAAAAAAAAAATCACATCAGACTACAGAGATAGTTTAGCAGTTAAATGCAGGTTCATCTCCCTGAGTTCTTTAGTTCCCGGCACCCACACAGCAGCTCACAATCCTCTGTAACTACAATTCCAAGGGTTCCAATGCCCTTCTCACCTCTTTGGGGACCAGGCACACATGTGGTGCACATACATCCATGCAAGAAAAATATTTATAAACATAAAATAAATCTTAAAAAGAGAAAGTAGCACAGAACCAAAACTGAGATCAGACTTGAAGCAGCGAAGAAATACTGTCAGAAGCTGAGTTTAGTAGTTCATGCCTATAATCCCAGCACTTGGGAGGTAGACAGAAGAGGACAGAGTTTGAAGCTAGTCTGGACTACACAGCAAGACCATCTATTTTTATAAAATAAATGTTGATACAACTCTAATATTGCTTTCTTCTTCACATACCTGTGTGTACTGTATGTCTCTTATAAGAGTACTTAGGCCCACCAGAATAACTCAAAATAATTTCATCTTCACACATCTTAATCTGCCGGGAGGACCCTTTTTTCAAATAAATTTCTTTACAGGGAATACCATTCTGTACACTTGTAGGAGGTCTAGTACTGGAGAACAAGTATAACTCTGTAGTTGGGTAGCAACGAGTCCAAGACCCAGCCCAGACACTTACAGTTCCCCTTCTCAGCCTTGCTATCTGATTCTGTAGAGTGGTGGAAGGGCTAAGTGAGATAATATGCTATACACACAGTGAAGAAAATGCTTCTGCTCTGGGGCAAATTCATCCTTCATTGAAACTTTATAAAACCCCCTGATAGTAGACAGCTGCTTACAGCATAGTCCCTGCAGCCAACAACACTGTGTGATGTGCTTACAAACGCAGGTGGGCAGAACCCATTTTATGTGTTCTTACTACAAAAATAAAAATAAAAAAATTAAAGTCACACCCAAGGAAATTTTTTCCAGGTGGTGGACACGTCTTTTACAATGATTATGGTGATGACTGTACCATTTAACATAGTAAATCTCATCAAATTGTACACAATTAACAAATACATTTTAATGCATATCATTATATCTCATGTGATGATTTTTGCCACTTGACATAAACCGTAATCACCTGGCAAACAGGGAACTTCAATTGAGAAATTGTCTCCATCAGACTCGCCTGTGGGCATGTCTATGGGGCATTTTCTTGATTAATGATTGATGTGGAAGAGCCCAACCACTATGGACAGTGCCATCCCTGGGCAGGTGATCTTAGGTTATACAAGAAAGCCAGCCAGTAAACAGCATTCCTCCACAGTCTCTGCTTCACTTCCTGCCTCCAGGATCCTGACTGAGTTCTCCCCTGGCTTCCCTCAGTGATGGACTATATTGAGAACGTGTAAGCTAAATAAAGCCTTTCCTTTCCAAGTTTCTTTAGGCCAGAATGTTTTATCACAGCAACAGAAACCAACTAGAACACCTCAATAAAACTGCTTAAAAAAATTTTTTAAAAAAAAGCCAAGTTGAATAAAAAAAAGCTTGCTCTGTGAATGAGTCTAGACTTTAAGCCATGAAGTACTAAGATTAGATCATGAAACCAAAAAGAGCTCTCCAGGGAGCATGTAATCAAGAATGTGGAACAAGGAAGGAATAATGATTAGAGAATGTGTATGTCATATCTACCTGCAGACTGATGTGGGAAACATAGATGGGGTCACAAGAAATAGACCCACGCTGGCAAATATGAGAGACAAAACATATTACCAATGATATGAGTAACAACATCTAACATTCCGGGGTAGCTGCTGGGCTGTTCCACTCATCAAGACAAAGATTAGAAAACAGGTCCGTCCTGAGTCTGATGCAGGTGTCTGGGAAACATCTCAACAGGGAAAACAAACAAGTTGTTGTTTATCAACCAAATCTGATCTAAGGACAGTTTTTCTCCCTAATTTACAAGAAACACGAAACCATAGACATACTCATGTCCTTCCAAGAATGTGTTTGGTAAAACATGAGGCTGAGGATGGACTTAAGTAAGTCCAAGAATGGTCAAAGAAATGGCCTGAGGAAAGTGAGGAAAGACCAGAGATAAAAACAGGACAGTGTGCCTGTGCCATGTATGGAAACCTGTTCCAGATGTAAACACTATAGTTTGCTAATTTACCAAATTCTTTTCCCTTTTTTTTCCCCTACATGACCCTTCCTACAATTTTCCTCTGTTAAAACCAGGAAAGAAAAAAAAAAGCAATTTCTGTGATCATTCAAGCATAGAGCACAACCACTAGCCACATTCAAGACAGCCACCCTTGGAGTCACATGTCCCTATAAACAGAGCACCCAGTCTCTCCTCCCAGTCTCAGACACCTAGCCACTGTATTACTGTAATCATAGCCCTGTCTTTTCCATCCAATAACCTTGATTCTTCAAGATGGTAAACTGCCCTCCAAAGCTGAGTGACATTACAACCCTGGAAGACAAGCTGCGAGTAAGAAAACAAAGTATTTCAAATCTACAGTACTAACACTTTTAGGGTTAGGATGTGTTTTTAAGTGCTGGTGGTTCAGGTCTAGCCAACAAAAAGACCTGGTCTTACAGAACCCGCTCTGCTGCTTTTGCAAGTTTAACTCCTTACAGTCAGATTGCTCAACTCTTAAGGAGACTGTGAAGGTGGTTCACCCTGACAGTACTGGCTGTGCCTGCAGGACTTGAATGTATAAACGAATGCACTTGAAACCACTTGGGAAGCTCAATTCAATGACCAAGGGGGTTGAAAGAATTTCATCTGTGAAATTTTAACATTTATTAAGTTTCCCCATTTCTATAAAGCTACTGTTCATAACTACAATTCAACAAGACTAAAGAACACTTGGACATTACTGCCACTTTACTAAGTTCCTTTACAGCCCTCCTATACACAAAAGCCCCTCCCAATCCACACACAGAACTGTCTGCTCTCACCACTGTCTGCTCCAAGACAGCTCCTTCAAAACAGAACTTTTGAAAACTAAGTATGAATGATAGTAAGCAACCTGTAGGACAGCAGGTCTGCCTGTCTCTGCCTCCCTAGTGCCAGGTTTACAAGTATGTGGCACCATGCCTAGCTTTTCCGCCTGGATTCAAGAGAACTGAATTGAGGTCCTGATGCTTGCCCAGCAAGCACTTTACTGACTGAGCTTTCTCCCCAAACTCCTAAGGATGCTCTTGTAAAAGGGAAGTTGGAGGTTGGAGGAAAGAGGAATTATCTTTTACTATAATTCTCTACATATTTTTAACATATAAAAACAATAATTACTTAAAGATGCATATAATTTCAAAATGTAAAAAAATTAGTAAAAATACCAAAACCACATGTTATTTTATTTGAAATGCCCTACACCCTAGTTACTCATAGTGACAACTACTGCCAGCAACACTACAGCCCCGAGTGCTCACTGCAGAAACAAATGGATCCTCTTAAACCAGAAGCAAGGACTTGAGCCACAGACAACCTCCCTGGGCTGCTGCTGCTTCTCAACTATGAGGATTTC